TGATGCTGGGAAAGATTGAAGGCGGGAGGAGAAGTTGACGACTAAGGATGAGATGGTTAGATGGCATCACCAACGCAATACAGATGAATTTTAGCAAACTCCAAGTGATAGTGGAGACCAGAGGAGCCTGACATTCTATAGTTATGGGGTTGCAAGGAGTTGGGCATGACTTAGTGATTGAAAAACAACCCTCCCCTTCATGATAAAAACATTCAACAAACTGGAAACAAGTGGGTTCTTCCTAAATCTCATAAAGGGCATCTACAAAAAACCCACTACTGACATTATAATGAATGGTTGATAACTGAATGTTTCCCTCCTAAGATCAGAAGAAGATAACGATGTTTAATCTTGCTACTTCTATTCAACATCATACTGGAGGCTCTAGCCAGAGCTATTGAGCAAGAAAGAAAATAGAAGTCATTGAGAGTACAAAGTCATTTGCAGATGACATGGTCTTGTATATAGGGAATTCACTAAAAATCAATTAAAACTAATAAATGATTTCATTAAGTCTGCTTGATATAAGATCAATACACAAAAATCAATTGCATTTCTAAACAGTAGCAATCAACAATCTGAAAATGAAATTAAGAAAATAATTCCATTTAAAACAGCATTAAAATAATAAAATACTTAGGAATAAATTTAACAAAAGAACTGTAAAATCTACACTCTGAAAACTACAAAAGATGTTGAAAGAAATTAAAGACCTAAATAAATAGAGATCCTATTTTAATAGATCAGAAGGCATAATACTGTTAAAAGGCATAATACTGTTAAAATTTCAATACTCTCAAAACTGATCTGCAGGCTGAACACAATCTTTATCAAAATCCTACAGAGTTCTTCGCAAAAATTGATAAGCCTATCCTAACATTCATGTGGAAATTCAAGAGACCCATGACAGCTAACACAGTCTTAAAAAAGAAGATCAAAGTTGGAGAACTCACAATTCCTAATTTCAAAATTTATTACAAAGCTATAATTATCAAAAATGTGTTGGGAGACACTGCTTTGGGAAAGCAAGTGTTCTCATTACTTGCTGCAAATTCTTCCTTCTCTGGAAAAAAAAAAGACTGTAATACATGCATAGGTTAGGTATGTAGATCAGTGAAGTAGAATTGGGAGTTCAGAAATAAACCATTACACTTTTGCCAATTTTTAACCAGGGTGTCAAGAAAAGTAAATGCAGGAAAGATAGTCTTTTCAAAAATAGTGCTGAAACAACTGGATAGTCACATTCAAAAGAGAGAAGTTGAACCCCCTACTTCACTCCATACACAAAAAATAAGTCCAAATGGGTTACTATGCAGAAAAGAGTTAACACAGCAGGCCAGAAGTGCTATTCTTGGAAGGCCTGATTACAAGATTGACCTTTGGTTGGTATTTGGAAAGCTGGATTTTGGGAGGGTTCCCATCATTCTCAGAATTCAGTAACAGTGGCTTACTGTGCCTAAACTGTTTGTGAAAACACTAGGGTTTATATTGAACACTTACTTTCTTTCTCGGAGTCTAGAGTTTTGGTACATGCCAGACAGAGGCTGTGTATGTGACCAGCCTTCAACAAGAAGCCCTGGGTGCTGATTCTTAAGTGAGCTTCCCTGGTTGGCAATATTTCATACATGTTGTCACAACTCATTGAACTGGGAATTGCATCCTGCCTGTGTGACTCCACTGAGAGAGTACTGTAGAAACTGGTGCCTATTTCCCCTGAACTTTGTCTAATGCACCTTTTCCCTTTGCTGATATTGCTTTGTATCCTTTTGCTGTAATCACAACTTTTAGTATGACTATATACATAGTCATGTGAGTCCTCTTAGTGAATCACTGAATGGGCGGGGGGTGGTCTTTTGGGCGCCCATAAACATAATCATAGACCTAACTGTAAAAGCTAAAACTATAAAACTCTTTAAAAAATAGGAATACATCTTTGTGACTTTGGGCTAGGCAAAGCCTTATTAGATAGGAAACTAAAAGTAAAATTAGATAAGCTGGGCTTAACCAAAACTAAAAACTTCAAATGACACTATCAAGAAAATAAATCCAGTGGTTGATATTCTTCAGAGGAAAAAAAAAAAGTGAAAAGACAATCCATAGAATGGGAGAAACCATTTGCCAATCACATATCTAAAAAGGGGTTTGTATCCAGAATACATAAAGAACCTTTAGGGACCTATATCCAGGTGGTGCTAGTGGTAAAGAAACCGCCTGCCAATGCAGGAGACATAAGAGATGTGGGTTCAACCCCTGGGTTGGGAAGGTCTGCTGGAGGAGGAAATGGCAACCCACTCCATATTCTTGCCTGGAGAATCCCATTGGACAGAGGAGCCTGGCAGGCTACAGTCCATAGGATTGCAAAGAGTTGGAAACAACTGTAGTGACTTAGTACACCCACATATCTAGAATATAAAAAGAATCTTTACAACTCAACAATAAAAAGACAACCCAATTAACAAGTGGGCAAAGGATCTGAATGGACATTTCTCCAAAAGAAGGTAGACAGTAAATCGGCACATGATTAATGATAATTAATAATTAATAATTATGATTATTAATATCAGCCATTAGGGAAACGTGAAATCAAAACTACAGTGAGATACCACTTCATACCCACTAAAATGGTTAGAATCAAAAAGATGGTCAACAGTAAGGAAAAGACCCTGATGCTGGGAAAAAATGAAGGCATGAAGAAAAGGGGATGACAGAGGATGAGACAGTTGGATGGCATCACTGACTCGATGGACATGAGTTTGAGCAAGTTCTGGGCCTTGGTGATGGACAGGGAAGCCTGGCATGCTGCTGTCCACAGGGCTGCAAACAGTTGGACACAACTGAGAGACTGAACAACAACCAAGGATTGGTAAGGATATGAAGAAACTGGAACCTTCAGACATTGCTGGTGGGAATGTAAAATGGTACAGTCCCCTTTGGAAAACAATGTGCCAATTCCTCATAATGCTAAACATAGTTACCAAGTGACCCAGCACTTCCTCTTCTAGATGTATATCCAAGAGAAAAAGAAACATATGCCCAAATAAAAACTTGTACATGAAGGTTCGTAGCAGCATTATTCATTAACAGTAAAAAGCAGAAGTAACCCAGATGTTTGTCACCTGGTGAATGGATAACCAAAATGTGCCACATATCAATACAATAAAGTATTGTTTAACAATATAAAGGAATGAAATATTGATACATGCTACAACATAATGAACTTTGAAAAACTTATATAAGTAAAGGATAAAATACATTGGGGAAAGTGGCTCTTTGCCAGCTTAGATTCAGAAATAAATATAAAATGAAAAGAATATAATATAAATATTTCCTGAGAACAGAGCTTCTTACATATTATTTTGGGCCAAATGCCCATATCACCATTGCTATGTAAAAGAGAAAAGCATCATAAGGCATTTCAATTGGCACAGTGATGTACCAAGAAGATAACTCCATTTGATTTATCTTCAGTGTCCTCATCTCTACCATCAAGATCCTAGGCTGTTAAGTGCAGTCAAACAATAAAGGTTATTCAGACTAGTTTCCAAAACCAAATATCAATAGTTCTGAGATTTTAGATTAATTTCTCCTTTATGCCTCTGTCTTCCTTTATTAATGTGGATGTGACAAAGTTGGCCAAGTCATACTATACTAATTCAGTTCAGTTCAGTTTAGTTCAGTTCCTCAGTTGTGTCCGACTCTCTACAACCCCATGGACTGCAGCATGCCAGGCTTCCCTGTCCATTGCCAACTCCCAGAGTTTACTCAAACTCATGTCCATTGAGTCTGTGATGCCATCCAACCATCTCATCCTCTGTCATCCCCTTCTCCTGCCTTCAATCTTTCTAGTATCAGGGTCTTTTCAAATGAGTCAGTTCTTTGCATCAGGTGGCCAAAGTATTGGAGTTTCGGCTTCAGCATCAGTCCTTCCAATGAATATTCAGGACTGATTTCCTTTAGGATGGACTATACTAATTGAGGTTAAGAGAAATACTAATATCATTTCCAATAGGTTTCCATTTTTATTTGGTTGCTATCTGGCCTTAATCTCTTCAGTCTAAGAATTGAAATCATAGGCCATTAAAGATCATTGATTTAAGCCAAGGAAACTAAATCAGAAGTCAGTTTTCCTAAACTGTAAGCTTCACAAGGGCAAGGACTACATCTGTTTTGTGCTTCCCTGGTGGCTCAGGTGGTAAAGAATCTGCCTGCAATGAAAGAGAGCTGGGTTCAATCCCTGGGTCGGGAAGATCTCCTGGAGAAGGGAATGGCAACTCACTCCAGTATTCTTGCCTGGATAATTTCATGGAGAGAGGAGCCTGGAAGGCTACAGGCCATGGGGCCACAAAGGGTCAGACATGACTGAGCAACTTACACTTTCAACATTAATATTTCCAGTACCTGGCACAAAATTGGTACTCAGTTAATACTTACAATTAAATTAACAATCAGAAGAATAAGTAACCCAGTCGTTTTCAAACTTAAAAGTGCATCTGAATCACCCAGAAAACTGATTAAAACACAGACTGCCAGGCCTCACCCCAGTCTTTCTGATTTAGTAGGCCTAGGATAGGAACCAATATTTTACATCTCTAACAAGTTCCCAGTGGATACCAATGTTTTCTGGTACAGTGCCTGGCACATAGTGGGCACGCAATTTTAACTATATTAGTTGCAAGAATAAGTGACTAAACAGATTTTAACAAATACTTATTAAATTGAATTTTGTTTTCTGAAATGGGAAGGAGGTTGGAGTTGAACCCTCTCCCCTGCCTTTTTGGAAAAGAAATGGAAAGATTTCACCCTACATGAAGTTGATTTATAAATATAAGTACATGAAGTCGATTTATAAGTATACATATATGAAGTTGATTTATAAGTAAAAATTTAACTTTTTGACTCATTTTGCTTTTCTTTTCAGTCAATCTGTATATGTCATGCTTTATATAATAGCATATTCAAAGCATTTATGAATGGTGTATAATACAAGTATTAGCAATCACAAGAAAAGATGGTGACATCAAATCCTTACCCAGGGGATGGCCACCACTGGGCTATGAAAAAATTTGAGAAAATAAATTTTTAAAAGGGAAAAAGCAAGGTAACCATTATGTGTTTTTAATAGAGTAAAATTACAGACTATTCAAGTAACCAACCAGCATGTTATCATTAAAAAAAAAATGGATGAAATAGCCTAACTCAGGAAGTCATGGTAAAGGGTTAAATAAATAAAACTACCTTTAAATGTATTTTTTCCATAATCAGAAAAGAGGACATTGTTGAGCAGAGACAAAGGCTTAGAAAAGTACAAAATACCAGACAGCAGGTGAGAGTGGAAATCAGTACTTAGAAATAAGGTTCAAAGCTCTCAGTCTTCTAAATTACAGTCCTAATGATTTTAGTTTTCTTGAAGCCCTATAGGTAGTGAATGTATAAAAATGAATTAAATGATATAGTTTTGTGGGTAGGTGAAGTTGTTAATATCATATTAATCTAGCTGGGAACATGGACTTCGAGTTCTAAATATATAATGAACTTGTAAGTAATACTGTGTGACTATAAACAACTATGAAGTATTTAGCCAATCACTCTCAACCAAAACAAGGACTGTTTACCAAGAACATCAGTTTAACTCAGTATGAAATGTAGTTCTTTAAACTTTCAGATAGGAAAATGTTCAGATTATCCAAATTGTCTAGAAAAAAACCCTGTAAACACTTTTCTGTCATAAGACCCTTTCTTATTCCATTCTGTTCTTCCACTTGTATAATATAAACATGAAAGGGTATCTGATAAGTATACCTAAATTAAGTTTACTTCAAATTAAACTTCAAGCATTCGGTCTTTATTTTCCTAAATAGTTTCTGACTCTTAAAGCAAGCAAGCAAACAAACAAACAAACACATAAACAAGCAAAATTTCCATTTTGCCTCTCCTTTTTGGATGTGCTCCAGTATCATAAGCTAGTGTAAGTCTATTTTGAAGGCAGGAAGGGTAGTTTTAAGCTTTTCTTTAAAAGACTTTGAAATCACATGATTTTCTAAAGTTTTAAAATAAACTATGGAAGTTTGTGTTACTTTTTTGTATAACACAATAACTCATCTATTCTCATCTCCAGGGAAAAAAAATGAGTAAGAGGCTACAGTCTGATATTTGGTGACTCTCACCAACACCCAGATTGATTTATATGTTTTTTCCTCTATGTGTCCACAATGTGTTTCATATAGCTCTATCATGACAATGACAAAAATCTAATTTCTGGACAATAACTGAAAATAGATTTTTAAAAAGCCCTCACCTAGTCTGGTTCTTAAAAGTAAGAAATCTAAGTCTAAAATTACATGTTAATTAATTAATTCCAAAATTACATTTAACCTTAACAGGAGGAATTCAAGGTTTTAATTTCTTGCTATCAGAAACAAATTACTTTCATCTTAAAATTAGCAAAAGAGTTTGGTCCTGAAAAATGAAAGCTTGATTGCTAGAAAGGAGAATCAAACAAGCTACTGTGTAGCTTATCTTATTTTTAAAAAGTCATGAGCTCATGCATGTTTTGTAGAGCTAAAGGCACGTTAATTTATGTTAAAGGATCCCTACTTGTTTCACCTGACTTTCAGTTGAGATAGACAGTCTACGAAAGTCCACCTGAAAAATAAATGGCTCAAATTAAACTTAGGATACGAACAAAAATACATGATCTTACAAAGTCTGATTCCAAAATAATGTTCTTATACATGAAAATATCCCAATTCATTTCCCAAGTAGTATCTTACCTGCTTTATCTCACTTTTTAACTGCATGATCCCAGTTCGTTCTGTTTTGGTTGCTCCAACAGCACCAACCTCACGGATTGAAATAGCAGGGCTGATATTTGAATCAGTGGGGCGAACTAGATAGCATGACAGATTAAAGAGAAAGAGGGAGGATAATCAGGTTCAAACTTTTTCTCCATCACTTTAAAAGACTCAGATGTATGACCTCCTTTTATGTTAACAATAATGAAAAATTCAACAGCTATAACATTTCTATTCAAAGTGTGGTCCACAGACCTACAGCATCACCATTACCTAGAAGCTTGCTAGAATTTTAGGCCCAACTGTAGACCTATTGAATCAAAGTCTGCAATTTAGCAAGATAACCCAAGATACTGTTCATTCTTATGAACAGTAAGGCTTGAGGAATACTGCTTTATAACTTTCTCTTACCACTCTAAGGTATCCATCCATCTGATATTATATATTTATTTATTCTAACTTTGAAAGTTAAGCATGGGAGAAGACTCTTCTCATTTGCTCTGATGTTTTAGGTACTTGATATCAAATACCACTGCCAAACCACCAAGTGCAGGTATAAAGTTTATTTGTGATAGACCCCAAATGTATTTGAATTTATAGGTGAAAGGATACATCCAATGTATTATAGCAGCTACACACACATACACATCACCATAAATGCTACTGAATTATTGTCAATTGGGATACAAGAAGGTTTTAGATGATATAGATTGCTATTTGTGCTAAAGTAGAGACTTAAGATAATGTAAAGGAATATATAAGACAGCCCCAAACAAAATATGATAGTAATCTACTTAATTTAAGGGGGAAAAAAGACACACAGTGGTTTCCAAATCTTGTTCCAGAAGAGAGCTTTGGTTTAAACCGTTCCATATATAGGGGTTCTGTTTATTTGGAGGAAAAGTTTCTCTGATAAAAGAACAGCATTTTAAAATCAATGAAACATTTAAAATAAGCACTGTGAAATAGAAATGCAGTTATTCAAACTTACCACTTCGTTCCACTCCAAACTCCTTGCCACTGAGTATGTGATGCAGGAGGTTCTTCATGGCTGAAGGACTGAGATTCATCAGGCCATCTGTGGCTTCCTCAGCTAGTCAGCAGAAATGTTAGGATAGAGGTATTTCTAATTGGCCTGCCATTCCCACCCCAGTTTTTCTGTTTCTTTTCTTGCTTAGAATTCCTGAGTCACTTGATTGGAAGAACAGAATTATGAAATACATTTCCAGCACCATATTGCCTAGGCATGCATACTGCAATAGATTCTTAATAATTTAAGGACAGATTATCCAGTTTATGGATTAACCAGGTTCTTGACTTCTTCAGTCCTCTTCCACATCAGTAGGGTATACTCAGTAGAATATTTGAAAGTGGGAAGAATGAAAGATAAGAAAAATCAAACTGGAAACCAGCTGGAGAAAGTAATGGATGTGTATATGAAGATAGGCTAAAATAATCAAAACTTCTCAGTCTGGAAATATGTGAATTTAAAAAGAGAATAGATATGAATGCTTGAAATTATGAAGAATATTGAGAAGATAACTTGAACTTGTTCATCAACATCAGACACCTATTATGAGTTTATTACATCTAGGTCATGATTTTAAGCAATGTTAGTACAAACAGGTATGACATAGTGCTTGCCTTGAGAGGCTGACCAACTAGCAATGTGTGGGAAAGACCAGACATGTGAACAAGATAAACAACAATAAAACATGACATGGCTATACTAAGTGTCATAAGAAAGGTACAGATAACAAATGCTTTGGAAATCAGAGGAGACATCAATCTCCAAGGATGAAAACTGTTAAAATGGGAAGCACTGTTGAAGTAGGAGGCAGAGGTCAGACTATTGAGGGTCTTGGATATCAGACCCAGGGACCTTGACTTTATCCTAGAAGAAATGAATAGCCATGGCTTGGGGAATCCACAAGAAAAAAATATGAAATGGGCAATTAAGAAAAAGTGAAGAATCTTTGGGGATTTTATCCCTTCTTGAGGTTTATGAGTCTGAATAATCAGACTCATAAAGCATCCCTTAATATATATGTGCGTGTGTGTGTATGAGACTGAATCTTTGCAACCCTATGGACTGTAGCCTGCCAGGTTCCTCTGTCCATGGGATTCTCCGGTAAGAATATTGGAGTAGGTTGCCATGCCCTCCCTCAGGGGATCTTTCTGACCCAGGGTTCAAACCCATGTCTCTTATATCTCCTGCATTGGCAGGCAGGTTCTTTACCACTAGCGCCACCTGGAAAAGCCCAGTGTAATCTATAATAATAGATTACATTGTAATCTATAATAATTACAATGTAATCTATAATAATGTGCTGAACTGGAAATCATTTACAATAAGGCAGACTTGGACTCAAATTTCGCAATTTACTAGTTATGCAACTTTGGGCAAGTAATTAACCTGGGTTTCATTTTTTTTTTAAAAAACTGATCATTAGTTTTATATAAATTTTATACAATTTTAAAGGTTACTTTCCATTTATAGTTATTACAAAATTATAGGCTAATGTTCCCATGTTGCACAATACACCCTTGAGCCTATCTTACATCCAATAGCTTGTTGACTTCCAATTTCTTTTTCAGTAAAAGTGAGATTAAAAATACCTTCACCATTGGGTTGTTGTAAGGATTAAACGAGATAATGTATAAAAGTACTGTCTGGCATATAGGTACAGAATAATCATTACCTTTATTTCTCTAAAGGATTATTTAAATATACATTATATCATGTAATTTAGGTTGGATTCAAACCAATAAATTTAGCTACTTGCTAACAGTGCAATTAAAAGCCTTTTGGGGACATTTAATTGAAACAATGGTTAACATTGAGTTTTGCAACTATGATTTTATTTTTTGTATGCAATCCCTCTCTCTATTATTTTGTCATTCTTGTTGAGATCAAACAAATATGAAGTCATGCCATGGGGTCCCCCCATAATTCTGTGCTACAGCTTCCAAAGGCCCCATTTATTTTTCTAACTAAAACTACCACCTTGCCAAATATACCTTTAGCTAATATCAAAAAGTTTTTTCAGATAAATATTAACAGAAATATTGCCTTCCTTTAATTTTATCCTGATGGTAACTAGACAGAATACTGATACTATAATCAAACTGATGTGGTGACTCAATCTGACAGCCAGAGGTGGCATGCCTGAATCAGAATCAAACCCAGTCTGTCATACTTAGTTTGATGCATGCAGAAGACCCAGGTTCAATCACTGGGTTGGGAAGATTCCCTGGAGAAGGAAATGTCAACCTACTCCAATATTCTTGCCTGGAGAATTCCATGGACAGAGGAGCCTGGTGAGCTACAGTCCATGGGGTTGCCAAGAGTTGGACATGACTGAGTAGCTAAGACTTTCACTTTTCACATGCCCTGAATCATTCTAGGAGTTAGTAGGAAGGTAATTTGGAGTGCGGAGCCACCAAAAGATGGAATTTTGAAATTGAAACCTGATATATAAATTTGTTATAGCAATCCCTTGACTTGCATAGAGACAAACATGGGAACAATACTGCTATATGCAGCATCTGAGCTACTGATAGAAATTTTTTAGCTTCCTTTCTCTCCTGATTCAAAACTTAATAGACCTGTAATAAAAGTGAATTCTGCCTCAGTTACTTAATTGAATACCTGAGCATCGAAGGGAGTGGGCCAGTTCTGTTGCCATAACTTGTATGATCAGACCAATTCGAAGTCGAAACATTTCAGCAAAAAGGCCAGGCTGAGTTCGCATATACATGGCTAGATATACCATTATTTCCTGTGCATGGAATGAATACAGACAAAAATTATACCATAGATCTCACATGGCCTATTTTGTGGTCTTCAGAAATTGCCAGATCAACTGAAAACAAACTTTTAAATATCAGTCATCAGATTAGGCTTTATAATTCTGCTCACCTGTGTAAGAATTGAAATGCTCATATCCCCTTCACTGGCTTCATCTATCAGTTGAGTGAGTACTTCATAGGGCAGAGGTCTAAGGAAGAAGACAGTGAAGAATGACAAAATTCTGCAACTACTTAAACCTAAATATATTGAGAAAATGAAAAAGCTCCTCCTAAGTCCAAGTCAGTGTCTCAACATCTCATCATTACTGGTATCATTCTGTTTCTTTCAGTCTTCAAAGTTTACTGCCTCCCCAAAGCACTCTGGCCTGTATGAACTCAGGAGAGCTCTGCTCCCTCCTCTCTAAGCCTGGATTGCCTTTCTCCCTCAAAGTTGTACTTAAAACTCACCCCATGATGTCCATCCAGACCAGTTTTTCATGGTTAATTCTTAACATGTGATAAGTATTATGGCTGGAAAGTAACAAACTAAATTTAAGCTGTGCCTTTTGGAAGTCATTTTATTGCTTTACACTCATACTTTATAGTCTTATACTGATTTTTATAGATTCATCAGTTTATATATATATGCACACATGCTCCCTCCCACACTTCTGACTCTCCTGTTGATACTAAGCACTCTGGGGGCATGGGGGATGTCATCTTCTTTTGGATTACCCACAGTAGTCACAAAATTGATTTAATTTGTAATAAAAGGTTCTGCTTAGCAGGACTAAGGTGTTCTGGACTGAATTGTGTTCCAAGTTCCTATGTTGAAATCCTAACTCCTAGGACAACAGAGTGTAACCTTGTTTGGAGATGGGGTCTATAAAGTGACTCTATAAAGAGGTAAGCTAAAGTGAGGTCATTGGGTGGGCCCTAATCTACTATGACTGGTGTCTTTTATAAGTGAGAAATTTGGACAGAGAGAAGAAATGTGAAGAGACATAAGGAAAAAATAGCCATCCATAAGCATAGGAGAGAGGTCTGGAATGAAGTCTATAGAATAGCTCATTTTGTGTGTGTGTGTGGGGGGGTGTAATTCCAGTTGCCTTGTTTGGTGGTTTTTTGAAGGAAAGGTTTGGTAAAGTCAATAAGTAAAAACAAACAAAAAACCTCCAAAAGAGCAAAATACATTTGAGTATTACTCCCTGTGAGTTTTCTATTTCATTTACTCATGTCCTATCACTGCTTCCTTGTGGCTCAGACGGTAAAGAATCTGCTTGCAATGTGAGAGACCTGGGTTCAATCCCTGGGTTGGGAAGATCCCCTGGAGAAGGAAATGGCAACCCACTCCAGTATTCTTGCCTGGAGAATCCCATGGACAGAGGAGTCTGGCGGGCTCCAGTCCATGGAGTCGCAGAGTTGGACACAACTATGCACAGCACAGAAATATCACTACAAATGTTCTCACATCGAGGGTCCCTGATAGAAGGTCACACACATAGGACATTATCATCCATTTATAGATTAGGACAACAGAATTGTGGCCAGTCCTCACAGCTCCTTAAAATTTCAGAGAAGCTTGATGAAACCCAAACAAAATCATACTAACGCAGAGATGGTCTTCTCTCGAGGTTCTGGAGGGAGTCCCACTGTCAAATGTTTCTGATGGGAGAGAAGGTCTGTGCAGGCCTACAAATAAATAGCGTAACAGTATTATCCTTCACAGAATACCTCAGATTTCCATGAAAATTTCTCTTTACAGTCTAGAAACCTTTGCTCCCCCCTTAATTTAAAGACACATCAGTCTTTTCCTTAGGAAATGCCATGAAGATCAGAAAAGAGATTTCTATGAAGGTATTTTTATTTCCTAAGAGGTAGGATCTTTTAGTCTAGTGTAAATTCCTTCTTAAGATCTATGATTTTTATAGTTTTTAACACCTCTATAAGTCTACGGTTTATATGCTTCAGTATTAAATATTTGACACTCATAAAAAAAAGGTTAACTGATATCAGAAATTTTATGTGGGAAAAATAACAGTTCAAATGATTAGGTGCTGTGGTGATTTCCTTAAAAAACTTCAGAAACAAATTTTTAACAAAGCACCTTCATTTAGATTTGATAGAAATTTAAGAATTCATAGTACCTCATCGAGTGCTTCCACCTTCTTCCTTAAGATTCCAGAGATGTATCTGATCAGGCCCCAATGACGAATTTCTCCAACTTTGCCATATAGCTCAGTAAGCAGCTCTCTGACTGTCGTGCTCCCTTCATCATACAATCCAGTGTCCCAGTCAGGTCCTCTGAAATGTTAAAGGCAGGCCTACATTAATTATAAATAAAGCTACAGGCAACAATATTTCATTTGTGTTATAATGAGTGTGCCTGTTTTTGATAGGTCTTTCTCATTAGGAAATGAATGTTATTTACTGTGAATTTTTATAAAACTATTTTAATAGTACTGAAAGCCAAATATCTAGATAAGAATAAGTCTTAGTTTCAGTTGTGTTTTGACAAAATGCATTCTTTTACCCTCTCAATGGGCTTCAAAGTAGCTGAAATTAAAGTCAAAGATTTAATTTAACTTCTGTAAGTTCAGAAAGTATGGTGCACTTAGGGAAGTAATGAAGAAAAAAAATTTGCTTATTTTTAAAAAATATACATCATATACACTATTGCTGTAAAAATTTATATAATGCAAGTCAACTGTAAAATACCATAAAAGATATATAGAGTGTTATAAAATTGGGAATTTAATATATGATAAAAGGTAGATTATTTATTAAATAATGTTAAGACAAGTAGCCACTGGGGAACAAGTTGAATCCATGCCTCGCACTGTACACCAAAATTCCAAATGTATCAAATTTAAATATTAAAGTACTAAATGAGATAGGGGAGAACTACTTTATTATTTTAGAAGCAAAAGAACTTTTAAACTGTGTACTTTATACCAGAAGCCATAAAAGAAAGGTTGATACATTTATATATCACACATAAATATATATTTATATAAATACAGAAAACTCATTGCAAAAACCACTATAAGAAAAGCCATATAACAAATTACAAATTGAGAAAAAAAATATTTCCAATTCATAGGCCAATTTCTCTAATATATAAAGAATTCCACTAAAAAACTACTAGAACTCATCAATGAATTCAGTAAAGTTGCAGGATACAAAATTAATATACATAAATCTACTGCATTTCTACAAACTGACAATAAAGAAAGAGAAATTAAGATCAATCTCATTTAAAATCATATCAAAAGAATAAAATAAAAATAAATCTAAGTAAGGAGACAAAAGACCTGTACTTGGAAAACTATAAGACACTGATGAAAGAAATTGAAGGTGACAGAAACAAATGAAAAGATATACTGTGTTCATGGATTGGAAGAATTAATATTGCTAATGTCACCATACTACCCAAGGCAATCTATAGATTCAATGCAATCCTTATCAAAATACCAATGGCATTTTTCACAGAACTAGAACAAATAATCCTAAAATTTGTATGGAAATACTAAAGACACTGAATGGCCAAAATAATTTTAAAAAGAAAAAGCTGGGGGAATCATGCTCCCTGTCTTTGGACTATACTATAAAGCTATACTCTTCAAAGAAGTATGGTACTGGCACAAAAGCAGACACAGAGACCAATGGAACAGAGTAGAGACCCCAGAAATAAATTCACAATTATATAATCAATAAATGTTCAATAAAGGAGATAAGAATATACAATGGGAAAATACAGTCTCTTTAACAAATGGTGCTGGGAAAACTGGACAGCTACTAATGCATGCAAGAGAATCAAACTGTATTACTTTCCCATACCATATACAAAAATAAACTCAAAATGGATTAAAGACTTAAATGTAAGACATGAAACCATAAAAATTCTAGAAGAAGAAAACATAGACAGTATGCTCTTTTGACACTGGTCTTAGCAATTTTTTAAAAAAATTAATTTTTATTAGAGAATAGTTGCTTTACAATGCTGTGTTAGTTTTTGTTGTACAGCAAAGTGAATCAGCTATATGTGTGTGTGTGTATATATATATATATATATATGTATATATATATATACACATATATATATATATATCTCCTGTCTTTTGCATTTCCTTCCCATTTAGGTCACCACAGAGCACTGAGTAGAGTTTCTTGAGCTATACATTAGGTTCTCAATAGTTATATCTTTTATACATAATAGTGTATATATATCAACCCCAATCTCCCAATTCATCCCACCATCCCTTCCCTTGTTGCCATCTCCTATTCAAGTATGGATAAATAAGCAAATAAGACTACCTCAAAGTAAAAGTTTTTGCACAGAGACAGAAACTGTCAAGAAAAAGTCTGTCTACTAAATAGAAGATTATTGTAAATGATATACCCACATCTCCTGTGTCTCCTGCATTGGCAGGCAGATTCTTTACCACCGAGCCACCTAGGAAGCCCCATTTCAGTAGTGTTCTTGCCTAAAATGTATAAACTAAATTTAATTATGAAGAAACATCAGATAAACCAAACTTTAGGGACATTCTGCAAAATAAATGGCCTGTATCATTTAAAAATGTTAACAACAGCCATATCATCTTTTCTTTCTTCTCTGCTTCCACCATCATATCAGCTCCTCTTATAAGGACCCTTATGATTATATCAGGCCCATCTTGATCAACCAGGATAATCTCCCCCTACTCAAGATTCTTTTTGAAAAAATTTATTTATTTTAACTTGAAGGATAATTGTTAGTCTTCTGACCTCTGGGACTAAGATAATAAATCTACATTGTTTTAAATTTTAAAAAAAGTCAATAACATTAAAGATAAAGACTTAGGAACTGTTCCACATTAAAGGAGACAAGGAACACATGAGAACTAAATGAAATTCATCATTTAGATTTTCTTTTGCTATAAAGACATTATTGGGACAACCAACAAATCTCAGATATTTGTTGGACAACCAACAGAGCTGTACATTAGATAGTGGCATTATCTTAACATTAATTTTCTGATTTTGGCAATTGTACTGTGCTTATATAAGTGAATCCCTGCTGCTGCTGCTGCTAAGTCGCTTCAGTCATGTCCGACTCTGTGTGACCCCATAGATGGGGTCCGAGTGAATCCCAAGTCTTTAGGAAATACTGAAGTATTAATATTTGGGGGTAGAGAGGGGTTGTGTTTGCACTTATTATCAATGGTTCAGAAAAAATATGTGTGTGGTGATGACAATGATGAGATGATGATGAAGAAGACAGGGAAGGATGGAGGGAGGGAGAGAGAAAGAAAGACAGAGATAAATATTAAAGCTCAGTGTGAACATCTGAGGGATTTGAGTGATGGATATCCAGAAATTCTTTTTTGTATTATCTTTACAAGTTTTCTCTCTAAGTTTGTAATGGTTAGAATGAAAAGAAATAATATGAAAATAAGTATTGTGATATCTCACAATCAGGGAAGATCCTTTTTATTCCTAGAAATCAGAGAAAGTTTCATGGAGGTGACAGATAATTCAGGCCTTGATATATGGCTAGAATTCCAACAAGGAGAGATGGTATGTGGTAAAGAAGAGTGGGCCAGACAGAGGAAAAAACATGAACCAGGGTCTGAAAGTAGTCATGTACAGGCTTTGGATATGATAAGCAATGGACTGTTTTGGTGGGAGCATTCACACTCTGATGGGGGAGCAATGGTAGATAAAGCTTGAAAGTTATAGTATAGAGGATATAGGTTTGATCACTGACTCCCAACTATAGTTTTGGTCATGTAGGGAGAGGCAGGGGGTGAGAAAGACTTGAAGATGATGACACAATTTCACGTCTGGGTGACTGAAACAATGATAATACCATGAAAATCCAGGCAGCAGTATGTTTCTGGTAAAGACAGTGAATTTGACTTTAGACATGCTGAGTAAGAAGATATATAAAGATAAATTCCAAGTAGATCAAGAACTTAAATTTTTAAAAATTCTTAAAGGCATTTAAAATATTTCCAGATTCTGGGAGGGAAGAAGATTCTCCCCATGTATGACAAGAAATCGAGAAACCAAGAAAGAAAATACTGTTGTATATTTGACTATATAAAATGAAATTTTTGCACAGAGAAAGGCATATGAACAAAGTTAAAAAGCAAATTATTTGGACAAAATATCTGCAACAAATATAGTGAAGAAAATAGTAATATATGCTATCAATAAGAAAAATATAAATAACCCAATAGAAAGCAAAGTTTATGAACAGACAATTCACAGGAGGAATACTAGTCAATAGCCATAGGAGACTACACCTCCAAGTTTCTACTACAATTTACAAAGGTATATTGGGCAGAATTCCAAGTGTATTAAAAGCCACATAGTACATCATACATAATCTACTCAAAAGGTTTGATATTACCTAGTTTTAGGGAGATTACGAGTTTCAATCAGATGTTATGGTAAAGTTAGTATATACCAGATTAGATGAAGAAAATTCATGTGTAGGCAGCAGAAAAGTTGACAGTCAACCATGGATCATCTGACCTGATAGGAAAGCAGGAGTTTTTGAAGTCTTTGCTTGCCCATCCCAACTACCCTGCTGAATCATCAGTTTTCATTCAAGCTACAGTCATTCTTTCCTTACTCCGTATCTCTTTTCACCTTCTCTTTCTTTTCATTACTCTGCATTTAGTATTGTGCCTGGCACATAAGTACTCAGCTGATACTTTGTGAACTGAGTGCCTTACCTTAAAGGAAAAAAGAAAGGAACAAAGGTATCAAAGTAATAATTCTCATGTGTTGTTTTGGTAGTAGCATATAACAAGCTTTAACAGTTGGTACATGGATAGTGTGTATGAAAGGGGTAGTCCCTCACAGCATCAGACTGTCAGGAGGCTTATGTAAGGCATAAGTTCTACCATCCACAACAGGAGGAGGGCAAGGAAACTCCCAGAGAAGAGAGGAGGAGGGGGTTACATGTCTAAGTATATACCTTTAGTAGCACCATGAGGAGTCTCTAGGTTAGAAAGCTCTGAATGCAGCAGTGGTTTGGGATACTCATGGCCCAGGGTTTATCTCTTGTTATCAGGTGCAGGATGAATTTTGATGAGGATGCAAAGCAGATAGGCCCTAAATGGCTTAAAATATGTTTGGGCTGTTTTTAATAAAATTGGGTATGTAAAAATTCAACTTTGGTGCTGATGGGCTTTTCAGCTTCCTTGTTTACTCGTTAAACACTCTAATCTGATGGAAACAGCATAGGCACTGGAGTCAGACAGATCAAGGGGACTTCATTATCAACTAGAGAGGCTGAAAGTCCCAGATCCTTACCTAGCTTTCTTTGACACTCCCTGGCAGTGAGGAAGGTGGAGCAGAAGTTTGGGTTTCCCATTCAGTCTTTGTTGACAGGAGTAGCACCACAGATTTTTCTCTGGGGCTTGGGTGGATTAAAGTAGTATTGTCTCAAAGATGTCTGTCTTGCTAGGGTGCCTTTTCTCTGGTCCTTTGTCTGGGAAAAATGGATTTTCCTTAGGGCTTTTGTCTGTGCTCACTGGTTGTCCTTTTTAGACTGATGGCTTCTCCAGCACCCAATGATGAAACAAAGAAAACCTGGGGATGTTACCACCCTGTCACTCTTCAATCCTGAGGTCCTTAGCCAATATGCCTTCTTCTTTCTACCTCTCAACATCTTGTTACATTTGTTTTATAAATAATGTCCTCCTGTACTTAGCAGGAGGAACAGAGAGAAATGCATTTACTCTATTTTGTCTAGAACCAGCAATTCCACTGTGGTTACATTTAAAGAGATTCTTAAAGGCTACCCACTCCCAGTACTTTGGCCTGGAGAATTCCAACGACTATATAGTCCACGGGGTCACAAAGAGTCAGACATGACTGAGAGACTTTCACTTTCACGTCTTTTAGGAATAATACTGAAATGTATAGGGATAAAAAATCAGGAACAGAGTATGTCAAGGCTGTATTTTGTCACCCTGCTTATTTAACTTCTATGCAGAGTATATCATGAGAAATGCTGGACTGGATGAAACACAAGCTAGAATCAAGATTGCTGGGAGAAATACCAATAACCTCAGATATGTAGATGACACCACCCTTATGGCAGAAAGTGAAGAAGAACTAAACAGCCTCTTGATGAAAGTGAAAGAGGACAGTGAAAAAGTTGGCTTAAAGCTCAACATTCAGAAAACCAAGATCATGGCAACTGGTCCCATCACTTCATGGCAAATAGATGGGGAAACAATGGAAACAGTGAGATATTTTATTTTTTCGGGCTCCAAAATCACTGCAGATGGCACTGCAGCCATGAAATTAAAAGATGTTCGCTCCTTGGAAGAAAAGTTCTGACCAATCTAGACAGCATATTAAAAAGCAGAGACATTACTTTGCCAACAAAAGTCCGTCTAGTCAAAGCTATGGTTTTTCCAGTAGTCATGTATGGATGTGAGAGTTGGACTATAAAGAAAGCTGAGCACCAAAGGAATGATGCTTTTGAACTGTGGTGTTGGAGAAGACTCTTGAGAGTCCCTTGGACTGCAAGGAGATCCAACCAGTCCATCCTAAAGGAAATCAGTCCTGAATATTCAGTGGAAGGACTGATGCTGAAGCTGAAACTCCAATACTTTGGCTACCTGATGTGAAGAACTGACTCATTGAGAAGCCCCTGATGCTGAGAAAGGTTGAAGGCAGGAGGAGAAGGGGATGACAGAGGATGAGATGGTTGGATGGTATCACCGACTCAATGGACATGAGTTTGAGTAGGCTCTGGGACAGGAAATCCTGGCGTGCTGCAGTCCATGGTGTCACAGAGTCAGACACGACTGAGCGACTGAACTGAACTAACTTAGGGATAAAGTGATAAAATGTTTTGTATCCTCTTCAAAATAATCCAGGAGGAAGAAAGAATGAGGATATATATGGGATAAGATTAATCATGTCTTTATAGTTGTTCAGGTTGGGAGATAGGTCTAAAAGTATTCATCACACTATTCTCTCTACTTCTGTATAAGTTTCAACATTTCTATCATCAAAGTTACTCTCCCTCCTCCTCTGTTGAGGATGGGTTCGAGGAGAACTAGATCGAAGCAGAGAGAGTTGTTAGGAAACTGTAGCAACAGTCCTAGGGAAAGACAAAGGCCTGAATGAAGATAGCAACAGTAGAGATGCAGAAGATAAATATTTAGAGATAAAACTGGACATACTTGATGATTAACTGGATATGGGGAGAGAACTTGATTAGGTAAGTGTTAGTTCCAACAATAGAGATGGAGAATTGACTCATAGAATAGAGTCATAGAAAATGGAGTCACATAGAAGTCATAGAAATGACTCCATTTTTGATGTTTGATTGTTGACTGCTTTCAAGTCATATGACTCCCCTTTCCTTTCCAGCCTCCATCTGGGCAAGTTGATAAGAAAGTCTGAGTGTTATCTCTTTGGTGCCATTGAGAACAAATCCTCATCCAAGCCTCACCTCCTAATCAAAATAAAATTTCAAATCCAGCCGCATTATTGCTTTTTAAGGGTCAACTTGATTGTTCCTCTGTCCCCAGAAAGTTTCATTATGTAGGTAATAAACATTTCACACTCTTCTGGTATGTGTGTGGCATCATCAGTCTCGATATCCAAACCAAATTGGGGGGGGAGCAGGGGTCAATCCTCCCTCTTCAGGGTGTCAACAATATGAATAAATGAGGAAGAACAGGTTATTTTGTTGGGGGTTCTGGGAGGACAGGAGAATGGAGTTCAATTTGGGGATACTGAGTTAGAGGTACCTAGATAAGGTGTACTTCGCAGAGGGTGCCTGACACATAGCAAACACTCACTAATGTTAGTTTCATTTTCCTGTAAGCCTCCATATTCTTACTTCTTTTGAGTTACAAATTTATTTACCTGTAGATTTTTACTAAATAATGGAGGCATATGTGATTAGTGACTTACTATGGACCAAGCATTGTATTAGAGACTGCAGATATTTTATTTTGTTTTAATCTTCACAACAATTCTATGAGGTAGGTATAATCTAAAAAATGAGGACAATTGAGACTTTGAAGTTATACAGTGGGTAGGTTGCAAAACTACTCAAATCCACATCAGTGAGACTCCAAAGCTGTGCTATATTTACTATAGTATAATTCCTTTCTACACAAACATGAAAGTAGATTGATAATTTCCACAACTTACTTCATAGTATACAGCATGTAGAGGATATCAGCTTGCTCTTGTAAGCTGGAGGTCTCTTTTAACTGTAAAACCAGTGCTTTGAAGTCCACTTCCCCAGACTGGTCTCTAGGAAGATGTATTTCTACACGAACAGAGGGAACCTTTAGTTTGAGAAAAGACAAACAAACAAACAAAAATTCCACAAGTGCTCACCTTAAATAATGCCCTAGAGTGTTGATCTTTTCACCTCTAAAACTTTCCCATAAGAGTTCCCTAAATTTTGACAAAAAGTAAAGCAAAAACAATGAGACCTTCAGAATGTATGCTACAGCAATCTAGTTTTCTTAAGTCTGACTAGAAATACTTACTCATTTAAAAAGTAAACTAAAAGGACATATATCTTCACCATGGTGGCATCTGCCTTACTGCTAGTTACTAGTAGAAACCATAATGGCTAGTTCTATCATTTTCTGTAAGAATGGTAGTTTTGCAAAAAATGTGATAGAAATATCTCCTGTGTAAATTTACCTGGTCCTCTTGTTCGGGATGAGGTGAATCAAGTAAGTTGAATGAAGGCCGGGAAGCCTGAAATATCTTTGTAGGTAGATACATATGGACATCTGCAAGAGGTTGACATTTATGGAAAAGCTTAGATAATTAAGAGATTAATAAAAAGGCACAGTTGACCTCAACAATGAAGTTACATATGGGTTAGTTCCTTATGGAACAAGAATGGGAAATTTACCCTTTCTTGGTAATTGCAAAGAAAAGATACATGAAGGTCAGATAAATCAATGGATATTTGATTAATTAATAAATATATTTTGAATAGAATATCTAGAATTATAGCATCAGCTGGACATATAAGATGTTAAATCCTATGAATGTAATCAGTACCACAATGGAGCTACTACTGATACTTTAAAAGAATAAACATAAAACAGAAAGAAGCCAGTTACATTTTATATTTCCCAGATTCTCCTAGGAGAATATCTGGCAGCTAGGAGTTAGAATTCCTTGAGAATAGATAAATGAATGACCCTATCTAGGAAATAAAAAAATGTAGTGGCTGAGAAACTTTGAGATATTTTAAGATTTTCACTTACAGTTCATGGTTGAAATACTTACCATAACCTCTAAGGAGAGATTTTCTTGCCATTTTTGCCATTTTACAGATACAGAAAGAGAGATACAGAGCCCAAATAACTGTTTAAGCAAGTAAATAGCAGAGCTGGGAATTAAGCTCAAGTTTCCTAATTCACAATCTAGAAGTATAACTTAATAAAGCTGAAGTCTTTGCATAAGCCCTTTGTCAAGGAAGCATAGACAAATGCTATATATGCTAAGTTTTTCCCTTTTCTAATTGTTAAATGATTCTCCAGTGATCATGTTTAATACTTTGGTTAGTAATGGTCAATAAAATTTTAGACAGTAAAAGCATGCATCTCATTCTTGTCATCTGTGAAATGTTAACATTTAGGTCCTCTAGGTGTGGCCAATGAGCCCTTCTGTTCCTTCACATGCAGCTACCATACAGAACACTCTTAGGAACTATGACTACTTCTGGCAATGTGTACTAGAAAAAACATCCTCCACTGCAGATACTACTGAGGAAGGGTAGTGATCTTGGGGAGAAGAATGACAAAGTTGTCAAAGAATGATACTGTAGTTGACAAACAGCTCTATACTGCTGAACCAACTGACTGTATAAGTTACAGCTGGCTTAAGGAGCCAGATGTAGCTTACTTAAGGCAGAATATTTCCCTTTCATTGCAAGACTATCTTGTAATAGTCTGCAGTGCTTTCTCTTTAAATAAAAGTACTTCCAAATTAGTAAATTTTCCAAAGGATGAAAAAAATTCTTTCCACATTTTAATACTTTGATGTTAAAACTGAATATGCTTCATACCTCTTATTCTGTCTCTTCCTTCTATATAAATGGATAAACCAGACTACCTAGCACTATACTATAGCAAAAAGTGAAAAAGTGAGTGTTGGTCACTCAGTCATGTCTGACTCTTTGCAACCCCATGGACTGTAGCCTGTCAGGCTCTGCTGTCCATGGATTCTCCAGGCAAGAACACTGGAGTGGGTAGCCATTCCCTTCTCCAGGGTATCTTCCTGGCCCAGGGACTGAACCGGGTTTACCTCCATTGCAGGTGGATTTTTTACCATCTGAGCCATCAGGGAAGCCCTATCTATAGCAAAAGTATACCCAATTATTAATTTCACAAATATTTGAACATCTAATATATTCTAGGTGCTGTTTGAGATGCAGTGAACAAATAAAGCAGGAACTTTATTAGTTCCTGCTTACACTGTAATAAACACCCCACCCCCATCCTGGGCTCCACGTCATCCTGCTCCTGACTCCAGTGAGTCATGGCATTACTCACTCTGTACATGCAGCTCCTTGGCCTTGGTCACCAAGGACATTAAATCGCAGGTTGTTTGCACAGCAGTTCGGAACCGATTTAGCCCTCCCTTCTGTGAGGTAGGGGCTAGTTTAGGATGGGGAGCAGTGTGTGCCAAAAGGTGATCTAAATAACGAGCAACTTCATCACCAGAGTGAGCTGCAAGGTTAGTGGGGAGAGGAGGGAGAGAAAAATAAATAAATATTTTAGTAACTTCACAATCTACCCCACCAAACAGAATGACTGGCTCCTGTGCCCACATTACAGCACCAGAAACATGTTGTTTTAGCTCATGGGGTTAAAAAAAGTTTGTGATCATTTTACAATCTTTACTATTCAGAAACCATGGCCATTTACCAGGCTCCACCTATTCCTCAACCTTGTTGGGGTAATACTACTTTTAGGTCCTGTGAAAGTAGTATGAGCTTATTACAGGCAAGGTGGAGCACTGCATGATTTATGTATGTGTATGTGATGGTAATGTTGGTGGCAGTGGAGGAGGAGGAGGAGAAGGAGGAGTAGAACAGGGCCCTTTGGATCTCACTGGTATGAGGAAACTTGTGAAGAAGGGGAAAAATCTTCCACTAAACATGGAGCTTAGCTGAAAACAGATTCCACAAATGGCAGCTACTATGGCTAAAAAAGGGGAAAAACCCCACCAATCTCCATGTGGCACTGGTACCAAAAGAACTACTGACTACATGTTGGTCTTTTTAGTCACTGCCTTCATTTATTAATCAAATATTTATTGTCCACAATGGACCAGGTGGTGTACTAGGTGCTGAGGTTTCAGTGGTGAAGAAGACAAATATGGTCCTTATTCTCTGGGGTTCTCCCTCTCCCCTACACCTTCTGTAACATTATCTCTGATTATGGATAATAGAAACAAAAAAAAACCATATTCTGTGGATGTTTAACATTTCGGATTTTACATGAACATTTATAGTTGGAAAAGCCCAGTGTTTGGATCAATAATGAAGTTTGCTATATCAGTCATGCATCATCTGGATTTTGGTCATCTTTGGGGATTTCTCCAGTTGTATTTCTGTTCTCTGAAGTGACTAACGGGAACTAGCAAAGCTGCAAGAGTGGACCTCACACTCAGTGACATCTTAATGACAAATACTATAACCTTGATTACAATCTAGACACTTGAATGGAGGATTATGAAGAATATGATAGGGATGGCAAGCAATAGAGACATGTCCACTGTGAGGCCACCAATGAGTAAACCCAGACAGAAGAAAGTGACTAAGATTGCATAATATCAAACTTAATAAAACATATCATTAAAGAGATATATTTAAGAAAGTAATCTGAGAGAATGAGTGTTACAGATGTAATTACAGATTAAAGTAAGTTACAGATGTAAATTACAACTACCTATGGAATAGCAAACAACACCAGTATATGATCAAAATAATGATTTTCAAAATATTTGGTTTTCAAAACATCTCAGCTTATGCCAAGATAGATATCATGACTTTGGATATTGCTGATAACATGAAATAACCTTGTATTTAGTGTACTCTTCAAACAAAGAAATTCATACTATTTTAGATCTTATGAAAACAGTGAATTAAACGGTACTTAGGTGAGTATATGCTGAACCCAAGTGAGAAAACAGTCCTTCTGACTGCTAGTGTGCTGGTTTATTGTATATAAGATTATGCTTGCTAGCTCACTGAGGAAAGCTCATTTATTTATTTTTTTCTTCTTTCCAACATACCACTATTAAGGTAAAGAAATTGGCTGCCTTAACATACAGGTTAACAGGCAAATACCCGGACAAAGAAAGTAGGTAGACCATGTTTTACATAATTAAAACAATAATTCATTCCCATCAGCCCTTTCTCTCTTTGGGATTCAAATAATGTAATGCTAGCCCTGCTTAGGTCAGCATTTTAATACTTAAAGTGTTTTTCAGGCATTTAAAATTTATTCCCTCACGATGCTATCTCACTATATCATCTTTGTATGCCTAGAAGCCAATTAGATTTTATTCTGCTTTATTTGTCTAGTTTGTAATATGAAAGCAATAGGCATACAAAATCAGTTTTTTCAAACTATAGAGACCTTCCCAGAGTTTCTGATGTGTCCCTGTAATATTCTATATAACCCTAATGGAATTTCATATTTTTGTGCTTTTTAATGTCAAAAAGCAGTATGTATATGTCTAGTTTTTCCACTATATACTTGATTAAATATCTCTCACTCACCACTGCTTCTTTCTATTCTTAAAGCACCAGTCATTTTATGTACCTGGGAGAGAAGTCTCTCCTAACCTTAATAAGGGATAGTTCACCTCTATACTCCACAATCACCACAGGGATATTAGACCAGAAACCAAAGGTAAGTAGAAGTATGAAAAGTGAAGCCAAACAACAGTAGGAATCTAGGTGTATTAAACAGGAGTGAGACTGCTGGCAGTGAGAAATATTAAGGAGGATGCTCAATAATACTTTGTGTTCTTGTCCAGCAAAGCCAGCGACTTTATGAAGCCTCCTTACCATTACTGGATAAACCATAGCCATTAATCCAGTCACCAGATTCCAGCTCATTATCATAGTCATCATAATCTTCACTGTACAGTTTACCCTCAGGTCCAGGGTCCATGAAGCTCAAATGCGTGCAACAAGATGTTGTCAAAAATTCTGACAATTTACCTGTTTGAATCCTGAAAAGAGGGTAAATAAAACACAGAAAATCAGAGGAAATTCTTTTTAAAACAACACAGTTTAGTGGGAAAAAAAAGATACCTGAAATGTTTTGTTGGGGGATTACTACTGTTTATACATTAGTACAAATTTTTAAAAGTGAAAATTTACAGCCCTCTTAGACATTATGTAGTATAGGTTAGGGTACCATGTTAATAAAGACTACAATTATGGGTTCACAATCCACCAGCAGATTAGTTTTTCTCTCTTACACTGCCACACACTATGTTGTTAACTATGCTGAACATGTGGCAAAAATTTCCATTAGCTGCAAGATAAGCTTGGACAGAATGAAGATAAATCATCTCAAATTTGTCACATCATTTCAAAAAATACTCAAAAAGACCATTTTGAAAAGAAAAAACAGTATCTGACAATTTTAAGAATTATAGTAGATTGTAAGTCATATTCCTCCCTACTTATAAAGCCAATTGCAAAACTCAAACCCAAAGGGAAACCCAATAGTACTGATTTTTAAAAGAAGTCCAAAAAAAAAAAGAAGTCCAACTTGAGGGGGCTCTCAATGACCAGATCTCAATATGAACACTGAAATAAACAATGGAATGGAGCATGACATACGAATAAAATAAGAATCTATGACTATGCTGACAATAAAACTACAAAATAAATGGGGTACGGGGAGCTTTTTAAAAATTTTTATTTATTTTATTTTTTACAGATGATTTCAACTAGTACATGTACAAAGAATGATAGAAACAATAGAAACACAGAATTTTACAGCCACATTTTACAAAATACAGTCATTTTACAACCACATTAATAATAACTGATTCATCAATGGAAGTGAAAGTCATTTGGTCAAAGACTGTTAGAGAAAGGATAATGGAGTCTTGAGGGGAAGATTATGAAGAATACGGAGAGAAGCACTCTTCTCATGGAAGGGCTGGCAAACAAAAGACACATAAATTGTGAGGTCACCAATGCGTAAACCCACAGAGGAAAGTGACTCAGAATATACCATTTTAACCAAATCGAGAGGCATTCTGCAAAATAACTGACCTTCTTTCTTCAAAACTACAGTGAAAATTGTCATGAAATATTAATGAAAGGCTGAGGGATTGTTCTAGATTAAAAGACATCAAAGAGATATAATAACTAAAATACAGTGAGTGACTTTTTATTGGATCTGGAGCAGGAACAAAGCCATGGGAAAACATTGTTGAGACAACTGGGTAATTTTGAATATGAACTCTATAATAGATTCATGTCAATATTAAAATTTCTGAGTGTGCTGATTATATTGTAGTCATTTATGAGAATGCCCTCTTTCTTAGAAGATAGAAACAAGTATTTAGGGTTGAAGAGTCATGATATCTCTAATTCTCACACACTTTAGCAAAAAAAAGTGTGTGTGTGCACATATGTATGTGTGAGACAGGGAGGATAAGGAACAAGGGAGTGAGGGAGGGAGTGGAGGAAGGAAGGGAGAGAGACAACACACAAGTGGGACAGATGTTAATAACAGGTGAGTCGAGGGAGGGTATATAGTATTCAATAAGATTCTTGCACATCTGTGTCTACTTAAAATTTTTCAAAATAAAAACTTAGGCAAAAAAAAAAGAAAAACAGTCAGAATTGAATAGTCCAACAACCTTCTTTTCTCCCTCCTTCCTTCCATTCCTTCCTTCCAGAGTAAGTTTCCTGACCTGCTGAATTTATGGGGTATGGGCAAGGAACAGGGTGAGGAAAAATTCCAACTCTTCTCAGTAATATTAAATTCCTTGATTCAGTCTATCAAATACCAGGTCATTGGAATAGGATGGGTATATGTTGTTAAAAGACACAGAGAAAGGCATCACCAGTTTACCATTCCTATACCCAGCATCCAAACTTCATTACATTTCACTGAAGAGTGCATAGAGGTCACATACCTTGCCCCACCAAAATATCCATCCTGCATTTTTCGGAGTGCTGCCAGGATACTTGAATTCAAGCTGGTTCCATCTTCATCTTAAAGAGAATTTTAAAACAATCTTTGTGGTTTTAACTTTGAAGTAAAGGAAATCCTTCAATTATTTCAAACCAACTTTCTGGTGGTAATGGTACAAATGAGACAATCCTCATTGACCATTCTCTATTTCAACAATTCATGTGAGAGCCAATAAAGCTGCAGAATGGGAAATGGTAAAGGATGAAACCAAGAGATGAGAGTTCCTCAAAAAAGATGGTATCTTATTTATAATAAGTACTTAGCACATTGCCTGATTGCAGAGCACGGAATGACTACTGAATGCTGACAAGAATAACAGCAACAATTTGTTGAATGTTATGTGCCAAGTACTGCGCTGAACATTTTATGTATTATCTCATCCAATGAGCCTTGGTTTATGTGTGTGTATGTGTGTAGGCATAAAAATTATTTAGAAGGCTAACAGTTATCTGATTTTATGTGAAGAGGATTATACTACACATATCCTTTTGTGATCCAGTTTTTCTAACTTATTCTTTGTAAAAGCTAAAAAATGATTCCATAAGAGACACTTAGACTGCTGTATTATAAGCAACACTGTGATGCAATCTTTCTATTATTTCCTTAGGATAAACTCTTACAAGTAGAAGTGTTAGAGCAAAGGAAACACAAAAACTTTTATAGATTGCCAAGTTACACAATAAAAAAGTTGTGCCAATATTGCCACCATCAGTATATAAAGTGATTGTTTCCCCACGTCTATAACAATAATGGCATTGATAATCTTTTTAATTCTTGCTTATATGATACATTAAAATGACATTGTTTCCATTTTATTACTAGTAAGATTGAGCATGTTTTCATATATATACTGGCCATTTGTATTTCTTTTATGAATAGCTGTGCATGTTCTCTTCCCTTTTTTTTGCTATTTGGAAACTTTAAAAAAATTATTTATTTTTTCAATTTGTGGAAAATTGCTTTACAATTCTGTGTTGGTTTCTTACATACAACAATATGAATCAGTCATAATTATATATATATATCCCTTCCCTTCTGAGCCTGCCTCCCCTCCCCCCATCCCACCCCTCTAGGTCATCACAGAGTGCCAAGCTGGGCTCCCTGTGTTATATAGCAACTTCCCACTTGCTATCTGTTTTTTTTTAATTAATTTACTTATTATTTTACTTTACAATATTGTACTGGTTTTGCCATACATTGACTTTAATCCTCCATGGGTGTACATGTGTTCCCCATCTGTTTTACACATGGTAGTGTGTATATGTCAATGCTACTTTCTCAACTCGTCCCACCTTCACCTTCTCCCACTATGTCCACATGTCCATTCTCTACTAGGTTCCTCAGTACTATTTTTCTATATTCCATATATAGGTGATAATATATGATACTTGTTTTTCTCTTTCTGACTTACTTCACTCTGTATAAGAGGCTCAAGGTTCATCCACTTCACTATAACTAACTCAAATTTGTTCCTTTCTATGGCTGAGTAATATTCCATAGTATAAATGTATCACAACTTCTTATATCCATTCATCTATCGATGGACATCTAGGTTGCTTCCATGTCTTGGCTATTGTAAATAGTGCTGCAGTGAACATTGGGGTGGGTACATGCACCTTTTAGAATTGTGGTTTTCTCAGGGTATATGCCCAGTAGTGGGATTGCTGGGTCATAGGGTAGATTTATTCCTACTTTAAAAAACGAATCTCTATACTGTTTGCCATAATGATTGTATCAGTTTACATTCGAGGGTTCCCTTTTCTCCACATCCTCTCTAGCATCTATTGTTTGTATATGATGGCCATTCTGACTGGTGTGAGGTGATAGCTCATTGTAGTTTTGATTTGCATTTCTCTAATAATGAGCAATGTTGAGCATCTTTCCATGTGTTTGTTAGCCATCTGTATGTCTTCTTCAGAGAAATGTCTGTTTAGGTCCTCTGCTCATTTTTTGACTGTTTTTCTGATATTGAGCTGTATGTGCTGTTTATATATTTTAAAGATTAACTCTTTGTAGTTGCTTCATTTCCAGTTATTTTCTCCCATTCTGAGAGTTATCCTTTCATCTTATTTTTAGTCTCCTTTTCTGTGCAAAAGCTTTTAAGTTTAATTATGTTTCATTTGTTCATTTTTGTTTTTATTTCCATTAATCTAGGAGGTGGTTCAGAGAGAATCTTGCTGTGATTTATGTCAAAGGATGTACTACCTATGTTTTCCTCTGAGAGCTTGATAGTTTCTGGCCTTACATTTAAGACTTTAATCCATTTTGAGTTTATTTTTGTGTATGGTGTTAGGAAGTGTTCTAATTTTATTCTTTTACCTGTTGATGTCCAGTTTTCCCAGTACCAATAATTAAAGAGACTGTCTCTTCTCCATTGTATATTCTTGCCTCCTTTGTCAAAGATATGGTGTGTCCATAGGTGTTTGGGTTTATCTCTGGGCTGTCTAGGTTGTTCCACTGGTCTATAGTTCTGTTTTTGTGCAAGTACATACATATTGTCTTGATGAGTGTAGTCTGAAGTCAGGAATGTTGATTCCTCCAGCTCCATTTTTCTTTCTCAAGATTGCTTAGGCTCTTCAGGGTCCTTTGTGTTTCCATACAAACTGTGAATTTTTTTTTGTTCTAGTTCTGTGAAAAATGCCATGGTAATTTTTTAGGGATTGCATTGAATCTGTGGGTTGCTTTGGTTAGTATAGTCATTTTGACAATATTGATTCTTCCAATCCAAGAACATGATATATCTCTCCATCTGTTTGTGTCATCTTTTATTTCTTTCATCAGTGTCTTATAGTGTGCTGCATACAGGTCTTTTGTCTGCTTAGGTAGGTTTATTGGTAGGTATTTTATTCTTTTTGTTGCAGTGGTGAATTGAATTGTTTCCTTAATTTCTCTTTCCCATATTTCATTGTTAGTGCATAGGAATGCAAGGACTTTCTGTGTATTAATTTTATATCCTGTGACTACTAAATTCATTGATTAGCTCTAGTAGTTTTTTGATGGTGTTTTTAGGGTTTTCTATGTATACAAACAGTGCATCTGCAAACAGTGAGGGTTTTACCTCTTTTTCAATCTGGATTCCTTTGATCTTTTTTTCTTCTCTGATTGCCGTGGCTATGACTTCCAAAACCATGTTGAATAATAGTGGTAAAAGTGGGTACCCTTGTTTGTTCCTTATTATAGAGGAAATGCTTCTTTCATTTTTTGGCCACTGAGAATAGTGCTTGCTGTGTATTTGTCATATCCAGCCTTTATCATACTGAGGTATGCTCCTTCTGTGCCAATTTTCTAGAGAGTTTTTTTTTTAATCATAAATGGGTGTTGTACTTTGTTGAAAGCATTCTCTGCACCAAGATGATAATATGGTTTTTATCTTTCACTTTGTTAACATGGTATATCACATGGATTGATTTGCATATATGGAAGAACCCTTGCATCCCTGGGATGAATCCCACTTGATCATGGTGTACGATTCTTTTCATGTGTTCTTGGATTCTGTTTGTAGAACTATACTGAGGATATATTTTTTTTTAATACTGAGGATTTTTGCATCTATGTTCATTAGTGACATTGGCTTATAATTTTCCTTTTTTTGTGGAATCTTTGTCTGGTTTTGGTATTAGTGTGAGGGTGGCCTTGCAGAATGAGTTTGGGAGTTTCCCTCCCTGTGCAGGTTTTTGGAACAGTGTGAGCAGGATAGGTGTTAGCTCTTCTCTGAACTTCTGGGAGAATTTTCCTGTGAAGACATCTGGCTCTAGGCCTTTATTTGTTGAAGATTTTGATCCCAGTTTCAATTTCAGTGCTTGTGATTGGCCTGTTCATATTTTCTACTTCTTCCTGGTTCAGTCTTCAAAGGCTGTACTTCTCTAAGAATTTGTCCATTTCTTCCAGGTTGCTCATTTTGTTTGCATAAAGTTACTCGGAGTAGTCTCTTATGATCCTTTGTATTTCTATGTTGTCTGTTGTAGCTTCTCCTTTTTCATTTCTAATTTTATTTGAGTTTTCTCCCCATTTTTCTTGATGAGTCAGGCTAATAGCTTGTAAATTTTGTTTATCTTCTCAAAGAACCAGCTTTTAGTTTCATTGGTCTTTGCTATTGCTTCTTTCATTTCTTTTTCATTTATTTCTGCGCTGATCTGTATGATTTCTTTTCTTCTACTAATTTTAGGGTTTCTTTGTTCTTTTCCTAACTGCTTTAGGTGTAAGGGTAGATTATTTGATGTTACTTTGTTTTTATGAGGTAGGCTTGTATTGCTATAAACTTACCTTTTAGCACTGCTTTTACTGCATCCCACAGGTTTTAAGTTGTCATGTTTTTGTTGTCTTTTATTTCTAGGCATTTTTTTATTTCCTTTTTGGTTTCTTCATTGACCTCTTGGCTATTTAGAAGCATATTGCTTAGCCTTCATGTGTTTGTATTTTTACATTTTCCCCCTTGTAATTGATATCTAATCTTATAACATTGTAGTGAGAAAAAATGCTTGATACAATTTTCTTAAATTTACCAAGGCTTTATTTGTGACCCAAGATGTGATCTATCCTGCAGAGTGTTTCAAATGCACTTGAGAAAAATGTATATTCTGCCGTTTTTGGATGGAATGTCCATAGATATCAATTAGTTCTATATTGTTCAGTGTGTCATTTAAAGCTTGAATTTCCTTATTAATTTTGTCTTGATGATATGTCCATTGGTGTGAGTGGGGTGTTAAAGTCCCCACTTATTATTGTGTTACTGTTGATTTCCCCTTTTATAGTTGTTAGCATTTGCTGTATGTATCAAGGTGTTCCTATGCTGGATTCATATATATTTGTAATTGTTGTATCTTATTCTTGGATTGATCCCTTGATCATTATGTCTTATCTTTCCTCATCTCTTGTTATGGTCTTTATTTTAAAGTCTACTTAATCTGATATGAGTAATGCTACTGTTGCTTTGATTTCCATTTGCATGGACTATCTTTTTCCAACCCCTCACTTTCAGTCTGTACATGCCCTTGGGGTCTGAAGTGGGTCTCTTTTAGAC